GATCTCTGTGTTTGTTTTTTCCATGAGGTTAGCGATATGCTATTTGCTTTCCACGCTGACAGTTCCTGTGCTGTGGATTTCTTTTTCGTTCGTCAGTCCTCCTGGTTCATTTGTCTATTCACCTGTCCGTCCTGATCCTCCTACTCTCCTGGTTCCTGTCATTAACCTGTCTACTCCCCTGGTAGTTCTGGTCTCCTCAGCCATCTTTACCCAGCCCTGGTTGTATGTATTCATTGACTCTGTTCCTTTTTGTGATCCCCATCATTAAACCACCTTTTTTACTAGCACCTGGGTCAGCAGTCTTGAGTCCTACCTCAGTTCTCCCTCACTCTCCTGGTGAGGGGGACTAACCTTAACAGGTGGAAGTGTTGCATTGAATTGCATACAATTGTACAGGTGTGCCTAATAAAGTGGCCATTCAGAGTATATTTACCTAATAATTATTTGAACTGTTTTCTAATGATTTATGAAAGTCAAATCACAAAATGAAAAGAAAAAAAATCTTACATCTGGTTCAAAAATTCCATTCGAAATATACAGTGCCTTGCGAAAGTATTCGGCCCCCTTGAACTTTGCGACCTTTTGCCACATTTCAGGCTTCAAACATAAAGATATAAAACTGTAATTTTTTGTGAAGAATCAACAACAAGTGGGACACAATCATGAAGTGGAACACATACTGTCTCTACACAGAAGTTAATGCAGGCAGTTTCTACTTCAGTATCACTTGATTCTCAGCAATACAATTGTAAGATATATAAGCAAGGAAAATAAATGCATTAAGAATGACCAAAGCTCAGTAGTTCTGGACAATCATCAATAGATATCTATGGATAGACAAGGAAATTAAAGTTATGACAAGTAACTAAAGGGAACTAAAGGTATGAGAATTGTTAGGTAATTTTTTAGTCAGATAGATATTGCTTAGATACTTGTTGTATTAGAAATGATTAGTGGAGACAGGATGTCTAGCTCAGGCTGTTAAATGCTTAGTCATTCTCATGAGTTTTTTGCAGGGTGCATATGGCCAAGGATAACTAGATAGAAAAGTTTGACTGTCAGCAGAC